ATATATATATATATATATATATATATATATATATATATATATATATATATATATATATATATATATATATATATATATATATATATATATATTAAGGGTGTAAAGATACGCCTATTCGTATTGAGACATTCGGTACGAGACATTCGATTCGGTATGCATCACAAAACAAACGATTCAGACATTTATCTAAAAAGATAAAAGATTATAAGTGTACAAAACATATTGTTTTCAGTGCAACAACGCTCAACAAGGAATCCCGAATGACGTGATATGCTGTGATATGCAAGGAATCCCGTGATATGCTGCCTTCCCTGCCCACCTCCAAACACTACTCCAGTCAGGCACACGCTCGCAAAATGGCTAGTAACATTATTGTAATCCTCCTATAACCAACAGCGGGTCTGGCATTTGGGAGCACTTTGTTTTCCCTGTAAGTTATGAGGGTGATGGCAGGAGAGTGCTGGATGAAAAAAACAATGACATCTGCTATGACAGCAAGCTATTTTAGCGGTAATATTTGAGCATGTCACAAATTTACACTGACATCACAGAATCACTAACTGGAATTAGATGAAAACTAGAAACACATGCACTACATGCGCCTATCTCCGCAGCATTTAGACAGGCAATTCCTACAGATTACCGAGGCGATCGGTACATGTATAGCTGTGGATATGAGACCTTAATCGGTAGTGGAAATTTCGGGTTTTAAGAAAATGTTAAATGTAATAGAGCTCCGTTACATTATTCCTTCATAAACCTATTTCAGTGAGATAATTCCTGCTTTCAGATCCACTCAAATGGCAGGTGACAGTCAAATTAAGCAGATCTGTGCCTGAAGAAAAGGTGGACACTCATTTTTCTGATAATAAAAAAATACTTAAAAATTTATTGAAACTGAGCTCCATATAAAAACTAAAGTGTTCTTTTCTTTTTATTTGTTTAACTGCTAAAATATTATATTTATTTTTTATAAGCAGCCTTTTGGTTTTGAGTATAAAGAAGGATTTGTTTAATTTGCTGCTAAGCAGAAAACCCAGATGTATAGCTCTATCACTGTTTAAAGTAAAAGAAAAAAAAAACAAGATCATACTTTTATGATGTTAGTTTAATACATAAAAAATGTAAATCAGAGAAATCCTCTGGCTTTTTTCTTTTTTTGCTGTATCGAAAACATACCGAACCGTGACACCACTGCGTCGTATCGAACCAATCCGTGGTTTTTGTGAACCGTTACACACCTAATATATATGTGTATTTATGAGAGCAGATTTTTGTCAACACATTTCTAAACATAATAGTTTTAATAACTCATTTCTAATAACTTACTTATTTTATCTTTGCTATATATTTTACCATATATTCATTCATTCATTCATTTTCCTGAAAGCTGCACAAATAAACCTTACATTTGTGTTTGGTTTCTTAGGACATAATGATATTTGGCAGAGATACAACAGTTTGAAAATCAAGAATCTGATGATTTAAAAAAAATCAACTGAAAAAAAAATGTTTAAAGTTGTTCAAATTATGTTGTTAGCAATGCAAATTACTAATCAAAAATGTTTAATTGCAAAATATCTTCATCACTGTATAAAATGCTGTGTCCACCTAAATGCAAATCGATTAAGTGAAGTTTTTACAATTTTAAGTTGATTGAACAAAACAATTAAGTGCTTTCTAAAAAAAAACTCAACTCATTTTAAATAAGCAGCTGGAACAAGCAACAGCTTTTTTTGACCAATGGAATATCATTCATTCATTCATTTTCCTTCAGCTCAGTCCCTTATTTATCAGGGGTCGTCAAAGTGGAATGAACCGCCAACTATTCCAGCATATGTTTTATGCAGCAGATGCCCTTCCAGCTGCAACCCAGTACTGGGAAACACCAATACACTCTCACATTCACACACACGCTCATACACAAGGGCCAATTTAGCTTATTCAATTCCCCTACAGTGCATGTGTTTGGACTGTGGGGGAATCTGGAGCACCCGGAGGAAACCCACACGAACACGGGGAGAACATGCAGACTCCACACAGAACTGGCCCAGCCAGTACTTGAACCAGTGACTTTCTTGCTGTGAGGCGACAGTACTAATCACTGAGCCTCAGTGACGCCCATAAAAGAAACATTTTGTCCCATACAGTGTATTTTTTCCTAGTGCCAACAATATACTCATGTAACATAAGACACAAGTCACAAATGTCTAAAGAAAAATGCAGTTTGTCATGCCTGAGCTTGAGACAGGAAGGGTGGGCTCTGTGCAGGCCTGTGTGTGTTACTGGATGTCTCAAATTGACTCTTTATGTAGTACTGCCCTGGACCTGGAACACCCTACAAACACAGACACAGACAAAAAAGATGCAAACGTAATGAAAAACAAACCTGATTCAGAACAGAACAGAAAAGCATCCATGCTGAAATACTGCAGAACTAACCTTGAGTCTTGTCACAATAGTGCCCTCTACAGACAACACAACACTTCTACAGTTACAGTCAGAATTATTAGCCCTCCTGAATATATTTTCGTCCCCAATTTCTGTTTAACAGAGATTTTCTCAACACATTTCTAATCATAATAGTTTTAATAACTCATTTCTAATAACGGATTTATTTTATCTTTGCCATGATGACAGTAAATAATAATTGACTAGATATTTTTCAAGACACTTCTACAGCTTAAAGTGACATTTAAAGGCCTAACTAGGATTAGCTTTACTAGGCAAATCATTGTATGACGATGGTTTGTTCCTTAGACAATTAAAAACAAATATTGCTAAAGGGAACTAATAATATTGACCATAAAATAGTGCTTAAAAAATTAAGAACTGCTTTTATTCTAGCCAAAATAAGACAAGACTTTCTCCAGATGAAAACACATTATAGGCACTACTGTGAAAAATTCCTTGCACTGTTAAACATCATTTGGGAAATAATTGAAAAAGACAAACACACATGTACAGGAGGGCTAATAATTCTGACTTCAACTGTACACGCATGTTTAAAGCTCGTTTGAAAAACCTGGTTGTAAATTATTTGTGCATTTCCACTCAGAGATGGGACACTTGTGGCATCAAATGTCTTTGTGGAAGGAAAAACAAATGTGTAGATCCCTGAGATGGACACACATATGAACCCCAGACTAAAATAATGTAAGAAGTACACCTTCTTCTCCTCCTGCAGGGGCACCAGTTCATGGTATCGAGGGATGCTGAGCTCTGAACGGCTCCTTTGCTCTCGCTTCACATTCACATTCTCATATTGGACAGTCTGATCCCTGAAAAACACACAGAGAAATGAACACAATTCAGTTTTTGACACACCATACCCTGTAAAAAATGATATGACAAAAAGTAATGGCAACAGATTTTTTTTGTTAATTTAACTTATTTAAATGAGCCAATAAGGTTTCAACTATTCAAGTCATTTCTTTTATTTTTTACTATTATTTTTTAGGATGCACAACATATCAGCAGGGCCAGACGGAATCTGCGGACGTTTTTTGCTATTTCTGCGGAGAATTTTGGTAAAAATCTGCGGATTTCTGCTGAATTATTTTGGGAGTATCCAGCGGAGTATCATAACTAAAACCTTAATATATTAAATAAAAAGTAATAAATTACTGAATAAAAACTGAATAAATTCAGAATTACACATTTACTCAAGTAAATAAACAGAATTAATAATGGGCTAAAAATCTGCAGAAATCTGCGGAAAATCTGCGGAATTCTGCGCGCGCAGATTCTGTGTAGACCTTCAAATCAGTGGCCATATTAATATCAGTCGATAAATGTTATATATATATATATATCAATTATATATATTATATATCAATACTATATAATAAATCTGATTTTTTGAACATGTTTTGACTTTCAGATAGAGCTGTGAACTTATACTGGGGTCCGTTCTTCGTACCTTGCTTAAATGATCTAAGATGATTTGGCAGATCCTGGATCTTTTAATCTTGATAACTGATCTCTCGCTAATTTGGTTCTTCAAACAAGTTCGTGAATCAGATTAGAATGTCTGGATAAACTGATCTGAGATCGCTGCGTGTGTTAAGAAGGACAGATCTATCAGTCCTCGAAATCATGATCAGCAATGCAACGATTGGCTGACGGCACAGCAGCGTAATGACATCATCTGATTAATATTCAATTATCCATGTGAGAAAAATTACATCAAATTAGCAGTAAACCGTTTGTTAAATATGACACGCAATAACATTACACATTTGTTATGAGGTGCAGGCTTTACACTTTCATGTGTCAAGAGTATTCATCATGTATTTCAATGCATATCAATGTATTTAGTTCTACATTTAGAAAATATTTTCTTTATTACAGTAGCCGTTTTTTTATTCGGATGTTTACAAAAGCATTTTGATATTGGTAAAGGTGTCTGCAACTTTTGTAAAGCATAATCACTGGCATATTAACTGTCAAAACATATTTATGACTGCATAAATGTATTATAAAAAGTCACATATTGTCAACTTTTATTATACACAATTTGTACTAAAGCGATCTAAAAAGTTCATATCAATAAGTTTTCTCTTTGCACCAACAGGTGGCAGTCTTTATTCTTTCATTTCGAGGGTGCAGATTGCATAAGTTTTATAAATATGTATAACTTTATTTATTTTATTAATAACTATAACTCTATATACATAGTTTAAAAATATGTACCATTTTCCTAAGTGTATATAACTACTACTGTAAGAAAATATCAGAATTCGGAACATACTTTCTGTATTATCTTTGCTTGAACTGAGCCGATCTAATCCTGTTTATATGAATTGAACCTGCTCCCGATCAGGTTTGACCTAGCAGAACTGTTGCCATGACAACAACTCTCTGATCAGCTTTGAAGAACGAAACGATCCTGGATCGTGTCAAATCGTCAATATCCAAATCCAGCTAACTGAGTAATCCACGTACGAAGAACGGACCCCAGGTCTCACGGTTCGGTTACGATTATCATGTCATCGATTCGGTTCAATTCGACATCTCTGTGCATCACGGTGCATTGACGATGCTTTTCACACACAGTTTTATATTTTCTTCACAGCAGAATTCTTGTATTAAAAAGTATGAATATATTTAAATACTATTTGTAATGCAATTTTGCCATTTAATACAAACAGTCAGATATATAAACTGTACCTTTAAACAACACAAGCATTGATAGCAATTAATATAAACAAATTTAAATATCCAGCTCGCTTTCTTATCCTTGTCTAGCAAGTTCTCTTACACCCCTTTGATTGGTCACACCCTCAACAGAAACAGTTGCGATTGGCTCTTGCGCGATGAGTGACACTGATAAGCGACATGTGGCAGTGGCGATCACACATGATCCATGATAGTGAATGAAAATTCCCGCGGTGAAGAAAACTATGCAGACACGCGCTCGTGTTTGTATCCAGAAGTATCGCTGTAAAACAGCCGAGACGGGAGGAAAAGTCACACCAGCAGATCAAATGGGCCGACAGTGAGTGTGAGAGAGAGAGAGAGTACTTTCATTCTCTCAATAACAGTGAAATAGGGGCTTCTGCTGTAAATGTCAGTGAAAGACAAACACACACATTAAAATTGTGCACAGTTTCTGCATTTTTAAGTAGTTGGAATGTTGTAAATATGTGAGTATATACTCACAATAACTGGTTATGATTATTACTGAAACAATACCGAATTGTCTGCGTCTGCATCGCGGTGCACAGAAGAAAACAATTATTTTGACGCCCCTACTATCAGAGAGTAAAATTTTTTTGCCCATTTTGGACAGTTTAAAACAGTGTTTGGGATATTTTATAAGCTGCAAAACAGTTATAAACAGTGAATATAAAAAAATAAGACATTAGACATAAGAGCTAAAATGTGCTGTCCACTTATGTGGCCACTAAAGCCTGCTTTATGCTTCTGCGTCAAGTGACCGGCGTAACCCACGGCGCATGCAACGCACGTAGCTGTGCATTTGTACTTCTGCGCGCTGTCTCTGTTGGTCTGCATTAATAACTCTGAAACGCTAGTTGGCAGTGAGGTGTAAATGTTCCTCTGTGTCGAGTTTCTTCACTGGTGCTTTTTCTGAACACTTCCTGGATGTACAAGTGGCTTAAACTCGCTCATTTTGAGGCAGGAACCGGCGGACGTGCAACAACTTTAACTATGAGGTAAACACAAAACAAAACTTTCCATCCGGAGCTCCTTCACGGGACTCCACACTTGTAAACAATCGCTCCATCGGGCTCGCAATGTTTGCGTGGCTCTCGGTCCCGCCCAGACTCGTCAGGGCTACCAAGCTGACCAATCACAGAGCTTGTGCTACGCGTCGTTGCGACGTGTAGTTACATTTTTTGAGAGGTGCACGTTAACAATGCCAACGGCCATGGCGTAGGGCTATGCGTCAATGCTTAGGCTACGCCGTAGCCGTTTGACGCAGAAGTATAAATCAGCCTTAAGCCCTAGGAAGATAAAAGCCCAGTGAAGTGCTTTGAAATGTGCATTTTTATATGATGTTTGAAGTAATTTAGTAATTTACATTGAAACAAAGACAAGATGACGCATAAATTAGCTACTCCCCTTTAAAAAAAAGCAGCCAATAGCGTTTCGTTTTTATCACAGCTGTGCCAGTGAGAGTTTTTGAGAAGTGTATTAAAGGGGGCAGGAAATGCCAGATGCAAAAGAGCATTTTGATTGGTCAGAAGATTTAATGAGAAACAGAAGTATGGGGAGACGTCAAAAAAACATTGCATCATTTAGTCGGAAGTGACAAAATGTTTAGATGTTTATATCTTTTAAATGTGAATTTGTCACTGCTTTGGAGCACACTAGCTTAGTTATCCTTAACATATTGATACAAGCATCTAAATAACTTATTTTGATTGACTATAAATCAATCCAGTACATTAAAAATCAGTCAATCAGATTAGATTTTGATACTCAAAGAAGTGCTTTTGAGTTTTGGATGCAGTACAGTGTGCATCAGACGTGTAAAATGAATTCTGAAGCATCTGCATATGGCACAACAGGCCCAGATGCTTCAGAATGAATTTTTCAAGACAATGCAAATGACGCTGTGCTGAAAACACGCTTCAATCACACTCACTCTTGTAGCTCATAGTGTCCCGGTCCGGGTTCATCTGCACCCTTCAGCTGCTCTCTTCTGCCAGACATCTTCCCAAACTGCACACCTTTATACTTCTGAGAGGACCACAGCTCCTCCTGCAAGCGGGTTTAACAAGAATATCAATCTTTTGCTCCTGAGGCCAAATATCAATTCTCACATCAGCACTTTCACTGAATTTAATAATGCACACGTATGTTTTAAAGTGCTAAGATCAAGTATCCTCTAACAATCAAAGACCAATAAAACCATTTGTTTGAATGTAATAAAAAAATAATTACATATATATATATTTATACCCATTAAATTTTTATTTGCAATTATGTTACATTATTTTTGGGGGATTTCAAAAATAAACAGGGAGGCTAATAATTCAGGGGGGCTAATAATTATGACTTCAACTGTATATATATATATATATATATATATATAGTGATTACATAAAAAAAATTACAAATATACAAAAATACTAAATTATATACAAATTACATATATATGTACATGTATTTCTGTATATTTTAGCATTTTATGTATGTTTGTATTTGTATATACATAATAAATTAACTTTTCTTTTGAATTTGATAATTATGGAAAACCATTTGACAGCACTAGTACGCACAGTGTATTTATAGATGAAGTTTTTTTGTTTTTTCTGTCAAAATGTTTTGAGAAAATGTGATTAATTAATGTGAAAATTTAAGCAACAAATTATTTTCTTTTCATTATCCAAGTCTTGTGACTGTGTAGATATTTTTAGAATCTTTTATTCTTCACATTATTTCTTCATTTACCTCAAACTTTTGGGTTGATCCAAAATAAAAGAAAAGAAATTCAAAAATTAAATAAAAGTTAAATAAAAAAAAAACTAAATAAAAAAATATATAATATAAAATAAAAAAATAATAAAATAAAAACATTGAATTAATGAATTAAAATAAATAACCTATTTGGTAACAAATAATAAGATTTACAAACATTTTTTTTTGTAGAATCCGTTCTTTAAAAAATTGGTGTTTATTTTTTTTTAAAGTATACTGATTTAAAAAAATCTGTATAATAAAAAATGAATAAAACAAATTTCCAATACCCGTGCACTGCTTGCTAAGTTTTACACAAAGACAATAAAGGCCTCTAATTAAACAAAAGAAAGTGCACCAAAGGTATCCAGTATGACATGGCCACTCTCATATATGTACAATCGACCAGCAGAAGTCGAGATGCGCATGACGAATGAGTCTGCGCTCTGATAAAGAGTTCTTTTCTCTCTGGAGGAAGTTGGCAGCTCAATGGCGAATGAAAGATGATTTGATTAAAGCTGAGTCCGGCATCTGCTGCATTATTGTAAGTGAATATTGAAATATAACGTAAAGAATAATTACCCCGGGTTTTCGGCCCTGACAGTAAAATGGATGAGTGCTGCGCTTTGTGACTTTTTAAAATAATGCAGCGATCATTAGTAATGGAAATAGCCTCTCGACTAATGATGCAGAGCGGAGGGGCATTAGACGCTCTTCTGTTAATGGACACATCTGACCTCTCTCTCTCACACACACACACACACACACACACACACAAAACGCTCCATTAGACATGTATCTTTTTTCACTAAGAGCACATCCATTTGCACACACACACACACACACACACACACACACACACACACACACACACACACACACACACACACACACACACACACACACACACACACACACACACACACACACACACACACACACACACACCTTGACCTACAAAGGCAAAAGACCTTAAGTTGAGTGTGCAACTGAGAGAAATGACTTTCAACATTGTTAGTCATCCAGCTAAATTAATTAAAGGCCGGACACTGAAAATCTGCCAATTATATATTTTAGTAATTAAATTAATTTACATAAAAAATGCTGAGCTCAAATCTGACTTTTGACCCCTTATTTTGATGTCACTGTACTTAGTGGCATACTCATTCATTAATTTTCTTTTTAGAGTAGTCTCTTTATTAATCAAGGGTCGCCACAGCGGAATGAACCGCCAACTTATCAAGCATATGCTTTACGCAGCGGTTGCCAAAAACCCAACACTGGGAAAAATCCATACACACTCTTTTACACACATACACTGCAGCCGATTTAGCTTTTCAATTCCCCTATAGTGCATGTGTTTGGACTGTGAGGGACACCAGAGCACCCGGAGGAAAACCACACCCACACGGGGAGAACATGCAAACTCCACACAGAAATGCCAATTGACCCAGCCGGAGCTAGAACAAGCGATCCTTTTGCTGTGAGGCAATTATGCTACCCACTACGCCACCGCTATGCCCTCTGTGGCATACTATTTAGTAATAATAATAATAATAATAATAAATTAATAAACCACTAAATTTTTCCTTGTACCCCTTGGTTTCGAATGTGGTCCTAAAAACTCTTTGTTTCAATGGCTATCTAGCCCTTCCCCTTAGCCCTACACCTTCAAGCTAAAGAGAATTGATCCATCCTGAACCATTCACGTGAACACGCAAAACGAGGGGTAGGGGTAAGGGGAAGAGCTCAGGGCTAGAATTGGGATTGGGCCTCAATCAATACCACAATGCACCGCAATAATGAGTGTAAAACCTATATACTCTCAACGGCTAGAGAATACCCATAATGTACTGTGAGAGTTAGCCAAGATGGCATCCAGCGAGTCAGTGGTGCAATTATCGTAAAAGTTACTCAAGCCAGCAGATTTTTTTATTTATAAAACAGCGAAACTGACTGAAGATACATGATAAAGGTGATACTGAAGGATCCCCAAAATATCTAGAACTCATTTTCAGCCAAAAACAAGTGTACAGCCTTTTGCCTTTGCAACACACACGCGCACGCACGCACGCACGCACAAAATGCTTTTATACTGTAAAGACTGTATATTTGAGAAGGGTATAAACGGAGGCCAGAGCCAGCTCCAAGTGGGTGGGTCTTGGAGCTCCAAGTGGGCTGGGCAAACCTTATTTAGTTGTATTTAGACTTGAATATTTTGCTTTATGAATTTATACACCCAACCCTAACCCTAACCCCAACCTCACAGTAACCTGTTGTGTTTTATTAACGTCTACACCTAAATCCAACCCTAAACCCAACCTTACAGTAACCTGATAAACCCAACCTACTTGCGGTTTGCGTCCCTCCCACTTGGAGGTCACCCAACCTACTTGCGGTGTAATTCCTCCCACTTGCAGGTCTCCGGGCTGCAGCGATACCTACTTGGTATATTCTGGCCCCAGAAGGACCACATGTACTGGTATCACAATACTTGTGGGGACATTTGGTCCCCACAATGTAAGAAAAACAAGGTACACAGCCACATTCACATCTAGTTTGCTATCCTTGTGGGGAATTCCTATAGACTTAATGATTTTTAAACTGTATATACTGTATATTCTAGCCTCTTTCCTAAATAAAATAAAATAAAAACATATTTGGTAATAAATAACTAAATAAATAAACAAACAAGCATACATTTTTAGAACCAATATAAAAAAATGTTTATGTATTTAGTTTTAAACAAAATAATATTAATTAATAAAAATGTGTATAAATAAAAAAATAAAATTTTCCAATCTCAGTGCACTGCTAGTCTTCCGAGGTTTTAGACAAAGACGAAAAATGGCCAAAAGGTAAACACCCACACGCACACACAAACATGTCTAGATTGCTATCCTACTGGGGACTTCCCATAGACTTAATTATTTTTAAACTGTATTTACTGTATAATCATCTTCTGAAAAGAAGAGAAGAGAAGAGAAAAAAGAAAAGAAAAGAAAAGAAAAGAAAAGAAAAGAAAAGAAAAGAAAAGAAAAGAAAAGAAAAGAAATCCAAAGCTCAGCCCTCACAGGAAACTTTTTTCTGTTTGATTTATAAGCATGTTTACCTATAGTGATCTTAATTTAGATATCCATGGTGATGCAAGTCCCCATGAGTCTGTGTGCCTTCAGGTTTAAGTCCCCATTAGGATATAAAGAAGACATCACACACACACACACACACACACACACACACACACACACACACGAACACACGAACACACGAACACACGAACACACACTGCTGGTACTCTGTCTGACCGGTGCAGGGCTGTAAAAGGCCGGGCCGAGGCTGTGGTCTCTGCTGGGCACTTTGTGTTTATGCAGGACACCTTGAGCATCTTCTTCATACCCGAACGCCTGTCCTGGAGATGGGATAGAGGGAGCAGCAGGACTCAACGATGGCCTAACAGCTTTAGAAGTGATCTGCAGACAACAGAATAGGGTAAAACCAAATAAACATGCATTGTAAGATCATGAGTAGAGAGAAATGCATCAGAGCTAATAGGGAGAAATGAGTTTGTAAACCCTTTGGATCTATCTGGATATCTGTAATTAATATAATTAACTAAAATATTATGTATATTACTGTATGTCTATACAATTATATTAATATTTATATTTAAACAGCATTTAATTTGATGTATTACTATACACATAAAAATATATATACACTTACTACATAAAGTAATATAAATATAATAGATATATTTAGTAAATTCTGTTTTATATTTATACATTTTATTTGTTATACATTAAAATTTAGTTTATCACAGTGGTGCAGTGAGTAGTGCTGTCGCCTCACAAAAAGAAAGTCGCTGGTTCGAGCCTCAGCTGGGTCAGTTGGCATTTCTGTGTGGAGTTTGCATGTTCTCCCCGTGTTGGTGTGGGTATCCTCCGAGTGCTCCGGTTTCACCCACAGTCCAAACACATGCGCTATAGGTGAACTGAATAAACTACAATTGGACGTAGTGTATGAGTGTGCACATGAATGAGAAAGTGTATGGGTGTTTATGGAACAAAATCAATGCCTAAAGTCTTGAATTAAAAAGCTTGTTGAATATCACAAACTGAAAAAAAATAATACACTGTATTAACAAGTTCTTGCATTTTAATGACTTGAATTCCAGGGTTTGTATTTTTAGGTCCTGAAATTTAACATATCTGTATATTTAAGCTTTGAATATTTCAACGAAAAATATTTTAAACACGTTTTCATACTTAAAAATTCAATAATTCATATTCAATTTTCAGATTTCACTTACAAAATATTCAATACCCTTTAAAAATACGATGTATAATATTCAAAAGGTCATTTTCAGTTCATTTTATTTCAGTTCAAATATTCGCTTCCATAAATTCAGTGGATCAAATTCGACTGTTAAAATTCAACATTACATCCGGGAACTGCAGGAAAAGCAATAGATTGCAGATTGAAGATCGCCAGCTGCTCTAGCTTTCACCAGCAGGTGGAGATGGAATGTAAGATTTTTAACCCAGTAAACAGGCGAGAAAAAGGCTATTAAAGGCACAAAAGTAGCATTTAATATTAATATCAAGGTTTTGGACATTATAAATGATAAAAAGTATGAGTAAATGAGGTTTTAGTCATCTATATTTGCCCTTATGTAACGGAAGCCAGCTGGTGATCGCGTAAATCTCAGTTGTTCTCGGATCCAGTGACAGAAGTTGTTCTGCAATCTTATCGGAGCTTGTCTCCCATGCCGGCTCGCTCCCTGCTCGGACCGGTGCGGTTACTTGCACATAAACCGTCTTTTGATGAATATGATGTTACACATTGTCTATCTTTATTGACTCTTTCTTTCATAGACGCGAAGTATTATATTGACAGCTAAAGAATATAAACGTAAGAGAAACAGGAAATGAAATATTATAATAATACAAAATAGATAAACATTGACAGGGCTAAGAACAATTACGAACAAAGATATTCAAAAGCAGAGAGATTTTATGAGAATGTCACACAAAACAGTTTACTTGGAACTGTTAAACAGTGTTCAGGTATGATTTAAGGTTGGTTATGGATGGGGCGTCTAATTTAAAATAATTTAACATAACGTGCGAATGCATTAAAGGAGCGTCTTCAGTTATTATTTAAACGCAGCTATGTCAGGATTGGAATAGGTTATATAATTTCATTATTTAAATTATGGTTATTAATATTAATATTTTATGACATGTATTTGGGCTATTGCACTTAAATAAGTCATCCGTGATTTTAAATTAATATTTCTATTTATCCTTTTTATCACTCTGTGTTTCTCTTCTTTTTTCTAATTTTTGGGGTTCTGCCACGGTTAAACATTTGCAAAATGTCTTAGTTTGTCCAGATTATTGTTTTATTGTTATGTAGCCTATAGGCGAGAAAAAGGTATTAACGCAAAAGTGGCAATGTCGCAGCCAATTATAAGTAATAAAATGAGTCGCCTGTGGTTTGATAATAGGCAGTTATAACTGACTTAAATTTTTTTTCAGTATTATGAGAAAAACGTTATTTATAACTTTTCAGCGACCGTTTGTATTGTATGATTAGCAATGTTGATATTTTTTTGCAGTTATTAAACATATAAACTTAATTAAACTGGTTTAAATTTAATATAGTTGTCACTTCAGCTAGTTTCATAAGATTAATGTTTAGAATGCGTGGTTGAGGGGGGTTCCTGCAAAGCAGCTCAGTGTTCATCATGGGGTTACTGAGCTTTAATCGCCATCTACTGGAGAGAATGTATTTGTTAATTTATTCTATTAACTATTTTCTGCAAGTGTGTTTTATGATTTCACAAAGTCAAACCATTATTTTTTTATTTTATATTTTGAGATGATCATATTTAAATAAACAATTGCTAGGGTAGCTAATAGTTTCTTTTTTTTTTTTTTTTTTTTTTTAAACCAGTAGCCTATAAAATCATAATTTTTGCTTGACAAAGTTATTGGTTTATGATTCTTGATGCATTTTTGCTAAATGATTGTTGGATACTCATAAGCTCACACTAGTTAAATCAATTATATTATCAGAAATGACAGATATAAGAAATCCATTAATATTCACCACTCTTTTTACAATTATACAAGCATTCGCTCCGACGTCAGCTCCGCTTTCGGAAATGGTAAACAGCGAGGTGTTATTCATATAAGCCCAAGCATGACATTTGTCATGAATGATTAATATAATAATCGAAACACTCTTGTAGGCTATTCTTATGCTTGGCCAAGTGTCATGACTTTCACTTTCATTTTACATTATTATGCACAAGCCCAGATATCATCTGAAAATTCGGAAGAATTCCTATCATATATTGGCAGCCATCCAGCATCTCTTAATCAGTTTGATATGCGGCGCTGGCTCTGACCGGCCACCGGAGCTCGCGGCCACTCGTTCGACTTTGTCGTGTGCAAGCCGCACCGCACATGCTTAAAAACGTCAATCATTTCATTCATTCATCAATTCATTCATTTTCCTTCTGCTTCGTCTCTATTTTAGAGGAAAAGCGACAATCTGGACAAACTAAAGACATTTTGCAAACGTTTAACCGTGGCAGAACCACAAAGAATAGAAAAAAAGAAGAGAAAGACGATAGCAAAGTTATAGCTAAAAAGGATGAATATAAATATTAATTTAGAATCACGGATGACTTATTTAAGTGCAATAGCCCAAATACATGTCAAATATTAATATTAATAACCATAATTTAAATAATGAAATTATATAACCTATCCCAATCCTGACATAGCTGCGTTTAAATAATAACTGAAGACGCTCCTTTAATGCATTCGCACGTTATGTTAAATTATTTTAAATTAGACGCCCCATCCATAACCAACCTTAAATCATACCTGAACACTGTTTAACAGTTCCAAGTAAACTGTTTTGTGTGACATTCTCATAAAATCTCTCTGCTTTTGAATATCTTTGTTCGTAATTGTTCTTAGCCCTGTCAATGTTTATCTACTTTGTATTATTATTATGATATTTCCTCTACTGTTTCTCTTACGTTTATATTCTTTAGCTGTCAATATAATACTTCGCGTCTATGGAAGAAAGAGTCAATAAAGACAATGTGTAACATCATATTCATCAAAAGGCGGTTTATGTGCAAGTAACTGCACCGGTCCGAGCAGGGAGCGAGCCGGCATAAGCTCCGATAAGATTGCAGAACAACTTCTGTCACTGGATCCGAGAACAACTGAGATTTACGCGATCACCAGCTGGCTTCCGTTACATAAGGGCAAATATAGATGACTAAAACCTCATTTACTCATACTTTTTATCATTTATAATGTCCAAAACCTTGATATTAATATTAAATGCTACTTTTGTGCCTTTAATAGCCTTTTTCTCGCCTGTTTACTGGGTTAAAAATCTTACATTCCATCTCCACCTGCTGGTGAAAGCTAGAGCAGCTGGCGATCTTCAATCTGCAATCTATTGCTTCTCCTGCAGTTCCCGGATGTAAAGTTGAATTTTAACAGTCGAATTTGATCCACTGAATTTATGGAAGCGAATATTTGAACTGAAATAAAATGAACTGAAAATGACCTTTTGAATATTGTACATCGTATTTTTAAAGGGTATTGAATATTTTGTAAGTGAAATCTGAAAATTGAATATGAATTATTGAATTTTTAAGTATGAAAATGTGTTTGAAATATTTTTCGTTGAAATATTCAAAGCTTAAATATACAGATATGGTAAATTTCAGGACCTAAAAATACAAACCCTGGAATTCAAGTCATTAAAATGCAAGAACTTGTTAATACGGTGTATTATTTTTTCAGTTTGTGATATTCAACAAGCTTTTTAATTCAAGACTTTAGGCATTGATTTTGTTCCATAGGTGTTTCTCAGTACTGGGTTGCAGCTGGAAGGGCATCTGCTGTATAAAACATATGCTGGATAAGTTGGTGGTTCATTCCGCTGTGACAAACCCTAATTAATTATGGGACTAAGCCAAAAAAGGGAAGATGAATGAATGATATGTACAGGTATCTTTATAATATTTATAAATTATACTACATTATATATTTCTACTAACAAACTATAATAAAGATTATATATATATATATATATATATATATATATAT